AATATGACGCTTGCAGTTCAGGCCAAAAAGTTCTATTTTGGTTTCATCAGACCAGAGAATTTTGTTTCTCCAGGTCTGAGAATTTTTTAAGGTGCCTTTTGGCAAACTCCAAGTGGGCTGCCATGTTCCTTTTAGTGAGAAGTGGCTTCCGTCTGGCCACTCTACCATATAGGCCTGATTGGTGGAGTGCGTTAGCAATGGTTGACCTTCTGGATGGTTCTGCTATCTCCACAAGGGAACACTGGAGCTCCGCCTTAGTGACCATAGGGTTCTTGTTCACCTCTCTGACCAAGGCCCTTCTTCCCCAATTACTCAGCTTGGTCAGACGGCCAGATCTAGGAAGGGTCCTGGTGGTTCCAAACTTCTTCCATTTCCGAATAATCGAGACCACAGTGCTTTTCGGGACCTTCAATGCTGCTGAAATTCTTTTGTATCCTTCCCCAGATTTGTGCCTTGACACAATCCGGTCTCGGAGGTCTGCAGACAATTCCTTGGACTTCATTGCTTGGTTTCTGCTCTGATATGCACTGCCAACTGTGAGACCTTATATAGACAGGTGTGTGCCATTCCAAATCATGTTCAATCTGAATTTACCACAGGTAGACTCCATTCAAGTTGTAGAAGCATCTCAAAGATGATCAGTGGAAATCAGATGCACCTGAGCTTAAGTCTGAGTGTCATAGTGAAGGGTGTGAATACTTATGTACCTATTATGTTTGAATGTTTACATTTTTTTATAAATTTACACAAATGTCTGAAAATATGTTTTTACTTTGTCATTATGAGATATTTTATGTAGATTTTTTTAAAGAAAACTATGCTCAAATCAGTTTTAGAATAAGTCTGTAACATAGCAAAATGTGGAAAAAGTGAAGGGGTGTGAATACTTTCTGGTGGCACTGTATCTGGCAAACTTTGTGTCGTCGCTGCTGGCACTAAACTACCTATTCTCTCAGTTAGCGGTCCTTAATTAGCTAAGCAGCGATCTCCGGCAGGCTCTCGCATCCTCTACCGCAAAAGAAAAGCTTGTTTTCAGAGAGTCATCCAGTAAGTGAAGAATAGAGATTTCTTCTGCTGCTCTGTGCTGCAGAGAGGTGAAGAAGCAATCAGAGGTCGAAAACAACAGGAGCTTTGCTTTTGTTGGGCAGGGTTTCACACACAGGTGTGAAAAACTAGTTTCATTTAGGCAAAGGCACCAGAAGGAAGTGTTTCAGTCCTTTTTTTTAAATCACAAAACAAATTCATCAGCAGAGTTCCTGTGGTTTCCCCACAGCCACCACCACTATGATTAAGCTTCAGTTTTATTTTAAATATGTAGGCCTATTATTTATTAACACATTGTGGTGCTTTTATGTGAATGTGAACCATTTCTTTTTTATCTCCTTCACTTTCATATACAATGAAGCCTTGTTTATAAAACCTTGGCAACTGTTCCTGTGCAGCCAGCTGGCCACTGTACTAAAATCTCGCATGGAGTGCTGTTTTCTAAGTTTCATTTCACACAGGCTTAATCCTTCATAGACTAGCCCACTCACTCCTGCGACACAGCACACTGAAAATTGCATAACAGTTAAGCCAATCATGGAAAACCCACCAACAGTGCATTTAGTTTGGTGTTTTCTGTGATTATTTTGTTAACACTTCTCTACTTTATTCCTCATTGGCTCTTTTGGGAGCAGCTCTGCAGTCGTTCTGATTGGCTGTTCTTTGCGGCTTGTATTTTTGTTACCCTGACAAGGTTCAATCCTGCCATTACAGATGTCATATGAGGAGGGCCTCGGTTAGGACTCTCTGCTTGACCTCCTAAAGACTGTGTGACAGTGCAGTGATGCTCAACTGTAAGAAAATAGTAATTACCTGAGTGCGGGTTGGGGGAGAGTTACTGCCTCAAGCAAGGGAGTTCAAGTATCTTGGGGTCTTGTTCACGAGTGAGGGTAGAATGGAGCGTGAGATGGATCAGCGGGTCAGTGCGGCTTCTGCAGTGATGTGGGCGCTGCACCGGTCCGTCGTGGTGAAGAGGGAGCTGAGCCGGAAAGCAAAGCTTTCAATTTACTGGTCCATCTACGTCCCAACCCTCACCTATGGTCATGAACTCTGGGTAGTGACCGAAAGAATGAGATTGCGGATACAAGCGGTGGAAATGAGTTTCCATTTTCAGCCTTAGAGATAGGGTAAGGAGCTCGGACATCCAGAGGGAGCTCGGACTATAGCCGCTGCTCCTTTGCGTCAAAAGGGGTCAGTTGAGGTGGTTTGGGCATCTGATCAGGATGCCTCCTGGGCGCCTCCCGCTGGAGGTGTTCCGGGCACGTCCCACTGGTAGGAGGCCCCAGGGCAGACCCAGAACACGCTGGAAGGATTACATATCTCGTCTGGCCTGGGAACACCTTGGGGTCCCCCAGGAGCTGGAAAGCATTGCCATGAAGAGGGATGTTTGGGGTGCTTTGCTCGGCCTGTTCCCCCTGCAACCCGACCCTGGATAAGCAGATGAAAATGGATGGATAGAATGCAACCAGCTGTACTGTATGCTGGACTCTTCTGGGCTTCACTTTTGCTTAGCTCTATCTAACCCACCACATACTCAGGTGGTAGCACTCCTGTGCAGGAGAGGTTTTGGACTGACAGACGAAATCAAAATCTGGAAAAATGTGAATATGAGAATAAAAGCCTTTCAGTCTCAGGTCTATGGATGTGATTAGTTGCAGGGACAGACACAGGCCAACAGACACTTGAAACAGATCTTCTGCAATTTGTAGGTTCGGACAGTACAGATCCAGAACCAGCCCTTCCTGGTTAAATTTTTTTGAAGTGTGTGAAATGATGAAATAAAATGGAATAGCTCTTGTTTCACTTAAGAATATAAAGTCATGCTGTAATGTCTAATAAACTGGGTCAGAGTAGGAGCCTTCAGTACAGCTTTTCTTTACCCTCCATCTCTGAGGTGAACAGGAGAAAATAAAGAACATAAAGAACACCTGGCTGTCAGTCTCAGGTTTGTTGGTGTGCTGTTGAATTTTGCACCACTTTATCACCCTCTCTTGTCTCCTGAGGTGATCTGTTCTCATAGCAGTGAGACAATATTCAGAGTTTCTGCTGTCTGGGTGTCAGGCTAAAAATACACTTGTGCAAACAGGCTGAACTCATTACTGAGCCAGCTGACAAAGTTTTCTGTCCACTATCCTTCACTCAGTTATGACCATCAGCTTCATATGCACCATGTGCGGGAATCTGTCTTGGCTCCTGTGAAATAAGTTTCATAGTACTTGGATGCAATCACACGATACTGGGACAAAGAGGACACTGCAAGCCATCCAATATGGAGGACAAACCTAATTTGTCTTAAGATTTACAGAACTTAAATACTGAAATGGTACTTCTGCTTCACCATTGTTTATTTCAGCACATTATCAGTTGTTGTGTTGAACTGTCTAAAGTCTTGGACATACTGTCCACACTGAATGTCCACAGACAGCTGCGATCACACGGACATGTGGTTCTATTCATAGTACAGCTGAGGGTCTGTGTCAGCCCCCAGCAGTAAACGAGAGGCCTGAGAGGTGAAGTTACCGTCCTATAGCTAACTTCAGGTGAAAGTGAAACTAAGAAGACACTGCAGGGTCCTGAGTGCATGTCTGACTAATATCTAGTGCTGCACCTGACTCATGTCAGTCGGACCAGATTCACTGGAGCCTATCCCACCTGACATTGGGCTCCAGCACATTCGTGACCCCTAACAGGATTAGCAGTCACGGAAAATGAATTAAAAAAAATAAATCAGATGAATTGTTTTATTTCCATATAAATTTTAAAAGTTTGAATAGGGCTCAGCAGGACATTCAGTGTGACAGCAGGGATTCATGTAATATAGTAAACAAGCTAACAACGCGAACCACAGATCGGAAATGTGCAACAACATGTTTTGCCAACACTAGATACCAAACAAAAGCCAGAGACTGTGTCGTATTCAGTGATGCAAACAGGACGACCCCTTGAAATTTTTAGTAAACTCTAAAGGAAAAAAAATAATGTTGAAATATTATGAAATATTATGTCACTCATAGGGCGTCGGTGGCTTAGTGGTAGAGCAGGCGCCCCATGTACAAGGCTGTTGCCGCAGCGGCTCGGGTTCGAGTCCAGCATGTGGCCCTTTGCCGCATGTCTCTCCCTCTCTCTCTCCTCCCCTCATGCTTTACTGTCCTGTCAATTAAAGGCAAAAAATGCCCTAAAAAATATCTAAAAAAAAATGATAAAAAATATTATGTCACTCAGGCCCAGACACACATGCACACACACACACACACTCTCTCATACACACCCCCACACACACACACACACACACACAGACCTGCATTTATTTTAACAGACATGACAACATCCACGATACAAAGACTATCACGTTTTTGGACCAACTTCACACAGACTTACATTATGACAGGCTCATGATGAAATGACCTGCCGATTCTCGTAACCATATTAACTCCCTCCTGCCTGTCTGCTCACGGCGAGAGAGGAGAGGGAGACGCTAGACTGAGGTACTTTGAGCAGCCAGCAAGTTGCTTAAAGGATGTGAAAAGTCCAGGTTAAAAGTATTTTTCTGACCTGCAATTCCTCTGAGCCTCCTTTGTGTTTTGTATGATCCATTTTGGCTCACTTTTTGTAGCAGATGTTGTTTAATGAAGGCACTGAGCACATAGGGGGAGGGGTTTGAAATGTGATTGGGCCAGCCCAGTGTCTATTAATAAAATATATCAGTGGGTCAAACTACCTGTATTATTGGCTGGTCAAACAAAAAACAAACAAGCAAACACAAAAACAATTATATTGGCCTCAAAGACATGTCCGCCCACTGGGAAACCCCCGTCATTCTGCATTCTAGAACACAATGTGTCACAAAGAGTCACAACATTCGAGAACCTCTTAAAATCCTTCAAATAGAGGCCAAGACACCTCGAAACACATTTAGACTTGTGATTTCAACAGTGAACCATTACTGTTTGAGAATCATGTCTTCAAAATCGTTTCATACCACAAACTCTGGTCAGTGTCGGCGCTCCAGTAAACAACCTGGTGAGTAGCTGTTGGAAAAGTTACTTTTGAAATGAAATTGATTACAGATTACTAGTTACCCTGTTAAAAATGTAATGAATGCTGTAATTATTTTAATTGCTTCATTAAAATAATGTAACTTATTACATGTGATCATTTTTTGATTCATTTTCTAACATGTTTTTTTAAATTGGGCAATAAAGCTGCAAAATGAGCAGAAATAGTCTCTGCCAAAAGAAGGCATTCCTGCACGGTGGAAAGATGCAAAGCAACAGAATGAATGTTATACTCTACATATAAACTTTTTTACTGTAAGGCATATATTCAGATGTAACCGCTTTGTAATCACTGACATTTTGATTAATATCTGTAATTTAATCACCTATTTTTTCTCAGGAACTGTAATTGATCACAATTACATGTAATTTGTAACATAATTAAATGTAACTGGTTCTTTCTTGGATCACTCAGACAGTGGATAATATAGTAGATTACATCCAGCACATGCAGCCAACAAGATGATCTTTTCTTGTTCTTGCAGGGCGCAACATTGACCCCGTCAACCACACAGTGAAAGACTGCAGATCAGAGGGAAGCAAGACCACCTCCAAGAAAAAGTCTGAGGAGAGTCTTGAAAGAGCCAGCAAGGGGAGCAGGACAAGCCAAAGTCCCTCCAACAGCGGCAACCAGACCTTCAGTGGGCCTTCATCGAGTTCCTTGGTTACCGGGTGTAAAAGGACCAGCATCAAGAGGAAGTCCACCGATGATGAGAGTGAAGAAAGACCCAGGACCCCCAGTCCCTCTGAAGACCCCAAACACCAGACCACCTCTGAGGCCTCCACCAGTAACAAACCTGGCACCTCCTCATCAGTAAACACTGGCCCGCCTTGCAGCAGAGGTTAGATGAGATAGATGTTTAGCTGATGTTAGCCTTGTCTGTTCTGCACTGCACACCACCTGGGTTGGGCTGCAGCTAGCTAGCGGCGCAGCTCATTCACATTCACCAATGTAACGCTGCTATAGGGGGCTTACCTGGGGGGAGACCCGAGGGTGGACACAATGTTTCCACAGCAACACTGTTGGGTCAAGACGGCGTTACCAGCAGTAATCGCTAAATAAGCAGCGCCACAAGGTAGTTCCTATCAGACCTGGGGGGTGCGCAGCACAGTTAACTGAAAAGTAGCAAAAATTAACCGATAGACCGACGTGTAACAATTTGAAAATACTTTTCTTGGTTAACCGTTGACATCCCTACTCAAAACACTGATAAAATCTGCGTTTCACCGGTAAAATCTGTTGAGTTTACTCACTTACTTACTTTGTTACTCTTGAACAGAATCAGGCTCGCTAATCGTCTGCTGGCTAGAAGGTTCAGCCTTTGCTGGTTTTGAATTAATATAGGAAAGAAGATTTAATTTTTGATCACATGTTAGTATCAGGGGTTAGTTTATGAGTGTGAAGTTCTGAACAAGTATAATCAAAGTTTGTGTTTTGTTTCTGCAGCTGCCTTTGAGGCCAGATATGAGGAGGAGGAACAGCTGGGTAGAGGAGGCTTCGGGACAGTCTTTGCTGGTCATCGCAAATACGACAATCTGCCTGTAAGACACACACACACACACACACACACACACAAACACACACACAGTATCTATGATTCATGTATCCACTTTGTATGTGGTATGAACTAACCAAATGTCTGTGTGACTGTCTCGTAGGTGGCCATAAAACACATTCCCCAGCCTGGCATTCAGTGCACATCATTGGTAATGATGGTTTGTTCTTTGTCCCAGTACAAAGGGAACATATGCACATGTTCCTCTTGTACTTCATATATTCTCACAGCATAGTGTTTATGTGTTCATGAAGGATTCATTGTTTCTTTTCTCCTCCCTCTATGTCTAAAGCTGCTGGGTGGGAAAACTTGCAAGGTCCCTCTGGAGGTGGCACTGCTGCTGAAACTGAAACCAGTAGCTGCAGTGGTGACCCTGCTGGACTGGTACAATCTGGACCATGAGCTGATTCTGGTCCTGGAGAGACCAGTCCCCTGCTTGGACCTGATAAATTATATGAACTCTAGAGAGTCTGCCCTGCAGGAACACGAGGCTAAAGTAAGTAGCTGAAGATGTGTGTGTTTGTGTGTTTCTGTCTGTGTCCAGCATGTCACACAGTCTACATGTCTCTTTCTCTCTCCTGCAGGCTATAACAAAACAGCTGGTGAATGCCCTCATTGAAGTCCACTCCAGAGGTGTGTTCCACAGGGACATCAAGCCGGAGAACATTCTTATTGAAACTGGCTCTGATGTCCCACGTGTCCGCCTCATTGACTTTGGCTGTGGCACATTTCTGTCAGGGAGCAGGTACACTCTAGAAACAGGTAGGCTGCCTTTCTCATGGTCCTGTTCTCTGAAACAACCCAGTGTCTTTGCTGTCTCTGTCCTTACCTCTGTCCCTCACCATTCAACTTTGTCTCTGTGTGGCTATGTGTGTTGTAGGAACCTACCCCTACAAACCCCCTGAGTGGTTCCAGCGTCAGTGGTACATGGCTGAACCAACCACTGTGTGGCAGCTTGGTGTAGTGCTGTTTGAGATGCTGCATGATTACATGCCCTTCAGCAACAGCTCTGAGATCATGACTGAGGAGCCTAATATCCGTGAGGATCTTTCCATCAGTAAGTTGTAAACGCACACAGGCAGTCCAAATAATGACACACATAAACACACATAGAGTACAGTGTTTGTATTAAAACATGTTTCCTGTTTGTTTCCCCAGACTGCAACAGTTTTCTACAACGCTGTCTGACCAAGAGACCAGAGAGCCGATCCACCCTCAGGAAACTTAAGATCCACCCCTGGCTGAAGTGATACAGTCTGGACCCCTGAGGACCACAGATAGATGGTAAACCCCTCTGAGGATAAGGTAAGATACGGTAAGGTATGGTAAGGAAAAACTTTAATGTCCCCAGGGGGGAATTTGTGCACAATTAGTGGTCACTGACAGTTCAGAAAAGCGAATGGAACAAAGGATGATCTGTAACGCTTGGTGCTGCATTTAGGGAGGCAAAACCTCCGCCCTGATGGAAGCATCTGATCTGTCTGCCCTGCTCATCCCTCTGGCTCTGTCGCTCTCTGTCTCTGTTTATTTGTACTGTACGACATCTATTGCACGTCTGGTGAGATGTCGTACGCTGTACAGCCTTCTGAGGCAATTTGTGATTTTTGATATTGGACTGTATGAATAAAATTGAATTGAATTGTGATTTGTGACACAGTGTGAGTTTTATGAATAAGCTGTGAATGTAAACTGAACTGAATTTTCTGACAACATTTTTATAAAAGACAGTGTAAACTTGTTTATTATCCAGTGTCCATTTGCATACATTGTTATTGATTTGGCATGAGCCTGGATTTGTGTGTTGCTCATACGCAGCTGGCTTTACATTTTATCTGGAGCCGTAATAACAACACGTCCTTCAAGCTAGCAGTTGGTAACTTTTATTGAAATAACTTTGTGTCATATTTGCTGAAACTGTCACTACATTCTGAAAGAAGTACATGACACAGATAGTCTTTAGAAAAACCTTCTCCCTCCTCCCCTCCTGCCTCTGATGGCATTTGCCAGAATCCGACCATGGTGTGGTCAGCAACAACCAATCAGAGCTGAGGAGTCTGTAATGCATTTAGCTGCCAAACATTACAGTCACTCTGTAAACTGCGGTCAAACTGCCAAACTAGGCAGCGTTGATCAAATATGAATCAAGGTTGTGTTACTGTATTGTCTATTTTCACCTCAGATGTTGTCAGAAACATATTTTGGTGCACTGTTTAGCTGTAAAATTCAGGGATGCAAGCAGGTGTTTGGTCAAAAATGAGAGAGCTTGTCAAAGCGAAATTCTGAATATTAAAATACACAAACACTAATTTGGAAGAATATTGTGTATACCAAAACAGAACAAATCCATTGAGCCGTCATGACCGTCTTGCTAGAGGTCCAAATCTTTATACATTTCTCCATGCTCTTTACATTGAATAAATAAATATTGAATAATTGACCTACTACAAATAACATGTCAGTTTCAAACTAAGAGCCATCTGAATATCCTGGGGCAAGTGCCTTCAAGTGTTGGATAATAGTTTTACATCTGGACTGTATAATTTAAAAAAGAAATTCTGAATATTAAAATACACTAACACCCAATTTCCCTCATTCTGCAAATGAACAAAGTTGAATGTTTCAGCAAAACTACCAAAACAGAGTGCAGTTCATCCTACCTCTTTCCACAGTTTCTTTTTTTATACCAGCTACAAAGTACTTGCTCACTCTGGAATTGATATAAAATGTTTGGCATGAAAATGACAACCTTAAAAATAGCCAGAGGCCACTGTATTAGTTAATCTGTCATATATAGGATGCAGTAGGCTATATGCATGGACAGCGTTTCATAAGCAACTGTTTCATTACTTTACAAATACATTATATTTACTGCTCTTGAATTTCAACAAACCAACTAGCAGACCAAAAATGTGGAAAGAATAAATGAATGACTGAAAATGAAAATAAAGAAGTTGCATATAATGAGTCATTTTACTTTCACTTTAACAGTCCTGGTATGCTGAACAAGATCTGAATGATGAGTACATATTTCACACAGAATCTGAATCTGCACACTAGAGTTGGGCGGTAACTAAATGTTGATACCGTTAAACCTTCCCCACATTTTCCTGGGGTATACGGTATTACCGTGACTAATTAAAAGTCACTCAGAGGGAGTCGCCAAAATGTCGGCTTGTGCCCATTTCATTCAGAAACAGAATAGCAAACATTACATAGGCCTAAGAATACTGAAAAATAACAACAAAACATGTACAACATTAACAACTTTTATTAACAAATACGCAAATACAGCAGTCAGTCAAACAGAATGAAATAACAAATTGTCTGTGGGCTACAGTCCACTTCCAGAAAAGTAACGATAAATAACAACGGCAGTAACGATAATGTGTGCTATACAGCGTATCCTCAGATTGCAACGGGTACTGTCCGATGGTTTATTTTTAGAACCTATCAACATAAATCAAATAAATTAAAAGCACAGCTCTACAGCATTCAGTACTCGGGCTTATCAAATAAGAAAAACAGTACAATAAATAACAAGGCATAACCGAAAATGGGCATATATAATCCTATCAACGGGAAATACTGTTCGCTGGTTTAGTTTTAGAGCCTACCTTTAGTTTGAAAAGTTCATCCTCTCAAAGTCCGAACTGTTTTGTCCATCGGAACAGGCTACTCCTCATTGAAAATGACATACAAACAAAGTATAATGATAACTATAGCAGCATCCTATGCTTCAAAACTGTTCAAGGTTTGTTGCCAGAAAAAACAGCATGTTTACTTTTTCCAGCTGGAGCAGGGCACGTAGTGGATTGACAACTTTGGCCGTGGTGCTGAATATGCGCTCTGATGGAGAGCTCGTGGCACAAATGCACAGGTACTAACTGGCTATTATGTTTTTCTGAAAGGTGGTGCCCCCAGGGTAATTTAATGTAAATTAAATAATTTTATTCATTCATTTTCCGTAACCGCTTATCCTGTTAGGGGTTGTGGGGGAGCTGGAGCTATCCCAGCATACGCTGGGTGAGAAGCGGGGTACACCCTGAACAGGTCGCTAGACTGTCACAGGGCTGACACATAGAGACAGACAACCATTCACGCTCACATTCACACTTACAGCCAATTTAGAGTCACCAATTAACCTGCATGTCTTTGGACTGTGGGAGGAAGCCGGAGCACCTGGAGAAAACCCAGGCTGACATGAAGAGAACATGCAAACTCTGCACAGAAGGGCTCCCCCCACCCCACAGTTCGAACCAGAAACCCTCTTGCTGTGAGACGACAATTCTAACCACTGCGACTTCCCAACACACCATTTCAGTATAATAGGGTTTTAGAAAAGTTAAGATAAAAGATAAGACGCACAAAGCCAACCCTCAGAATTTATGTAACGCACAGAAATAGGGTTTAATTAAAATAAAAATGTGCACTTGTAAATTTTAGATGTGAATAAAACTTGGCTGGTGTTTCTGAATCATTACTGTATTTTCCCCCTCAGCAGCTCTTCTTCTGTGGCTTTGGTTATAGAGTCAAAGTCAGAATACATTACACTGGCACAAAGGGTTTGTTAAACCATCAGTAATTTGCAGTAATTTTTCAGAGTTGAATATTCTGAAAGGGATTAGTTGAAATGCAGAATCAAAAAGTCCTGCATGAATAGGGTGAGTGCTCACTGAACACAAGGCAGCAAAGAGCACAGTGTAAAAGGACACACTGATGGTTCAGCAGAGACAGGGTCTGTGCGTCTGTGAGTGCATGCTCATGGATTGGGGTGGGGGTGGGGGGTGCGGTCGGGGGGGGCCCACAAGCACGTGTCGTGGCCGCCTGCTGTGGCACCCTGGTGCTGAGGGCTGATTGATCACCTGCTGCACAGAGAGGCATCAGTCAGCAGCCATTCAGTGCCCCTGGAGAGAGGTGGTGATAAAGGGAAGCAAACAAAGACAGAAAACAAGATATAGAGATGGGAAGGAAGAGGAAAACACAAACCAAAGAGAAAGGGATGAGAGAAGGAAAAAAAGAGGTGCAGAGATGAAGAGATTTATGGGAAAGAGAGCAACAGATTGCAGGAGATTTAAAAAATTCACTGAACAAAGCATACAGATACAGAGAGGAGTGAGGAGAGACAGCAGAGGACTTTTTCTACCATCATAATAAACTGTTGTTTACAAGAAGCTGCAGTCAGGAGGAACATACAGTTGGAGGTGGAGGTGCTGGGACGAGAAGATGTACAGTATTTTTTCCCTCGATTCTCGTCACGTTCAGTGCATGTGTGGCGCACGTGACGATGAAAGCCCATTTTCTTTGTTGATTAGGCACGATCATGTCCATAGGTGACTGCCAGCCCTGAGAGTTAATATCACACTGATGCTGTTATTTATAAAATATGAACATCAGCAGGAAATTATAGCGACTTCTCTAAAGTTCATTTTCAGTTAAATTATACTTTTCATAGAGGTGAAGAGAGGCTGGAATATTCCCCAGCTTGCACTGAAGAGACAGTAAGGAGACATTTATTTGTGCAAAGGACGATCTAGAGCCTCCATTATACATGTTTATTGTGTGGGGACCTTGTGTAAAAAACAGAAAATAGATTACTCACTCTTAAAAGTGTCTGAGGAAGTTTGTTAATGATTTTACACTTAAACAAATTTGTTTCTTGGTGTAACAGAAAAAATTTTGCTCTGGAAACTTTTACCCTGCTGCGGTGCCGTTACAAACAAACAGAAAATGTTGATTTACATTGTTAGGGAATCTCCATCTTTATCAACATGTGATTAATTTGCTCTCCTGCACATTCACGTGGTGTGAGGTGACAGTGTGAAGCCACCACGCTGTGATGATCCGTGCTATTTCCGAACCAGTATCTCTGCTGTATGCCAGCTGCTGAGGTGGAGAAGACAAACTCAGATCCACCTCTGTGAAAGGAGAGCTCCAACCACAGACAGAAAAAAGAAAAGCATGGATCTGTGTCACCCACAGGACTCTGAAAGGACATTTTGGCTTACCTCTCACTTCCTCCGTCGTCAGTTTGGAGCCACACAGTCCAAATTTGGGCCGACACATGACCCATGATGTTACTGTCACTGTTGCAAGTCAGACCTTCTACAAAAAAAAAAAACAACCAAAAAAAAACCATTGACTTTGAAAAGTTAGGCAGGTATGGAAAGGTAGCAGTGGACAGAAAATTTTGCACTTTTTAAGCTGTTTTCAGATGAGAATACTTTACTGGCTTCATGTACCTGTTTTTTGG